GGGGTGGCACCAACTCAGAAAGTGTCCAGGTGTCCTCTGGGGGGGTGGGGTGGCACCAACTCAGAAAGTGTCCAGGTGTGCTCTGGAGAGACCCTGGAAGGTAAAGGCAGCAGAGTCATGTTCGGGTCTTTCCACTGAAAACAAGAAAACCTCTGGAAAAGACCCAGCTCTGGAGTCCAGGGAGTGGTCCAGAGGCCTGACAGATGCACAAGCTGGAGAGAAATGACTCATTCAGACTTATCAGAAGACAGCAGATAAACTTACACACTCTCAGTGACAGACAGAGCCACAGGTGTGGAGGCTGCAGCAGCTTTCTCTCTGTCTGTCTGTCTGTCTCTTTCTCTGACACTGATCCCTTCCACTCTGCTGTCATCTGCACTAGATTAGACAAGACACTTTTTAAAATTTTAATATTCCGGTCAATCATCCTTGTAATATATAATTAGCTCATATCAATGTATCACAAGAATAATATTAGATAAAAAATTGCACTCTTAGAACAATGTGCACCACAATACTACAATAAGCTAGATAATTGCAGAGGACAAAGTAGGGTTAGGGGAAGACAGATTGAATATGCTAAGACCAGGAGGATGGTTAGGATATAAACAAGCCATCTGGTGAGTCCAGTGCTTATCAAAACCGTACATATGGTTTCTGAGCCTTCTAGTAGCAAACCATGATAGTGCTTGAAATGTAAAAAGAATACGATGTTATAATACATATGTACATATATTATTTATACATATCACAAAAACATACTAATTTCTCAGGAGAAACTGGAACAAAAGATGAAAAATGGCCCATGTATTTAATATGAAATACTATTTATTTTAAGGAAACAAATATACATGTATATAAATTGTGAGGGACTAGAGAGGCTGAGGCAGGAGGATAGTGGACTTTGAGTCAGCCTAGGCTGCACAATGAGACTCTGTTTTGAAAAAAAAATTTAATGGAAATAAACCAGATCTTTGATCATCAACAATTCTCTATGTGGCAAAATGGTAACTTTAGTAACTTGAGCTCCTAATAATGCTCATCTAAGTTCTCCAGAATGGATGGATATAAAATTTATATTCAGAAAACAATTGTGATCAGAAAAAGCCAATGGCAAGTTGTTTGAAAATATTTTATTATGATAAACTATTTGTACAAATAAGATATAATCTATCATTTTAATGATTCTTAAGAGACATAAAGCAAATTCTGAAGTACAGGATGCAGGACCAGTGCTGGGCACTGAGTGTACTTAATACAGAAATGATATTAAAGGGCTGTATGAATTTTGTCAGTGAAGCAGAAAAGGCTAAGAACCTCGTCATTAACAATTTAACACTGGAAAACAGGGAGGGAAGAGGTGAGGACTAATTCTCCTGTTCACTCCTTATTGCTCATAGCAGAAGACCACATTTAAGTTTTGACAGATTCTTTCTATGAAGCTCCAGCTTGAATCCTCCTGCCTCAGCCTCCCAGATACTGGAATGACAGGCGTGAATTAGCATACCCAGCATGAAGACTTTCTTTTTTTTTTTTTTTTTTAAAGATTTATTTATTTATTATGTATACAGTGTTCTGTCTGCATGTATGTCTGCAGGCCAGAAGAGGGCACCAGATCTCATTACAGATGGCTGTGAGCCACCATGTGGTTGCTGGGAATTGAACTCAGGACCTCTGGAAGAGCAGTCGGTGCTCTTAACCACTGAGCCATCTCTCCAGACCAAGACTTTCTTTTTTGAAATAATGGTATTTTTCAATGTTTTAAACTGTGTATTTTTCCTGTTAGGAGATTTTTCTAGGATCACTATCATAGGCTGGCACGTTGACACTTTTCTACACTGTAGGGGTTTTTTTTTTTTTCTTCAATTTATTTTCATTTGCTGAAATCCAAATAGATTTAAGTAATTTGAAAATTCAAAGTCAGTATTGTCCAATATGTTTTTCAAGTGATATTAAATACATTCATAACGTGCCAAAACATTACCACTATCCATCTTCGTGATTCATTCCATGTAGCACAGGGAAACCCTACAACCTGAACTGTAGTTCCCCTCTCCCATCACCACAGCCGTCAGCCACACTCCTGCCTTCGTGATGCTGATCACTTCTGAGTACTTGCTGTGGGCTTTTATGATGTCACACAAAACACCACACCGTGTGTATGTTCAAGCTTTTAAAGAAACCAGAAGTCAGTTGATTGGTGATCATTTTATTAGACTTAGAGTGCGCCACTGACAAGGGACTGTGTGGAGGAAGACAGGCAGTACGGTGGATGTAGCAATAGTGTGTGCTCGTGTTTAGAAGGATACATTAACCCAATAGTCCCAAGTGGTACTCTCAGCTCTTCTCAGTAGGAAAATGAGTGAAATGAGCTTCAGTTTACTCCTCGCAGGACTAAAAGAGTGCCGTGCCACAGACCTGGAACCTGGCATTATCCTCCCAGCAGGGGAGCAGTGGGCAGTCACTTCATGCCAATCAGTCTCGGCAGACACCCCGGCAACAAACTACAGTTTAGTAAGAGAAAGGCCAACACGCTGATGTCATCAAAGTTTTGCAGGCACAGGGGTCATACTAGGACTCTAAGCCCCCAGACTGAACTGTCCAGTTTTATGCTTAGACTCTATAAAGTAGGGACAGCAAGATACCAAAGTGAATGGGTCTGAATTATTGCTAACAGGCCAAGTAGGAAACCCAACCAAACCTGTCTGCTCGGAGCCTTCTGGGCCCCTCCGTTTTACCATTTCTTCCTCTCTGGTATCGGGCAGGACTCCTCTGGAAGGAGGGTCTTGACTGGTTTGCTAGTCTGCTGTCACATAGAAAGGAAGGGAAGAGTTAAAATAGTATTTTTAGACTTCTTGACTGACTTTTGGAAGAAGTTCCTGTACATAAGGCTTCCATCAGGACAGGATATGGGGGCCAAAGAGGGACAGAAGGCCAAAGAGCAGCTGGGCTCTGAGGCTTCACTTGGGGTGTCATTTTCTGAGCCCAACAGTCCCATCAGGGCCAGTTCAGCCAGTTCTGTGCCCTGTAGAGATTATGCAGCTCTTACCACTGACCCTTGTGATCTGGATCCCAGGGTACAACAGGCTCTTCCTCGCTTAGGTCAGACCATCACATGCGTGAGTGATGATTGAGACCCCATTGTGATTCACTCTGAACCCAAAGACGCGGAGCTCGCGGCTTTCACACTATGATGAATGCACATTAATAAAGAGTCCACATCAGTTTCAGGGGAAACTGATGAATGTATCAAGATGTATAACATGGTGGTCATCTGTGGAGGAGAGTAAGAAGGAGAGAGAGAGGGAGGGAGGGAGGGAAGAGAGTGAAGGGGAGAGGAGGGGAGGGGAGGAGAGCAGAGGAGAGGAGAGGAGAAGAGAGGAAATGAGAGGAGAAGGGAGGAGAAGAAATGAGAGGGGAGGAGAGGAAATGAGAGGAAAGAAGAGAGGGGAGGAGAGGGGAGGAGAAGAGAGGAG